TATGTCCGCCTTATTCTTGGCTTTCTTCTATTTTGCTTTCCTCTTTATTGATCTTATTCGTAATTTATCATCCGAGAAAATTTTTATTCCTTTTCACGACATTAACATCGTAGCTTTTCTTCTTGTATTTTATTGGTAATATCATTTACTTTAACTGTATCTCAAATGTTCTCATTTCTGATTCGATCATCTTTCGTTACTCCACACATCCGTTGTAATCGTCTCTGTGTCTGTAATTTATACTCTTATATTAGCCCTCATTACTGTTGAGGCCTGTACCACAGGGTTTGGCTGGTCGTACCACTGTCTCGTATGATTTTCCATTCAACTTGACTGGTATCGTTCTATCGTACAATATTTCAGCTATTTTCTTCCAGTTTTTCATCCAGCTTGAATTTGGCAACTCATTTCTTTCTTCACATCTCCAACCTCATCCGCTATCGAGCCAAGGTATCTGAAACTGCGCACTTCCTTGACTTTTTATTATTCTAGCTTATAGAGTTTTATTCTAATTGTTTCCTTATCTCATGTTACAGCACACATATTGTCTTGTTCTTTTTAACTTTCAAATATTTTTCTTTTAGGGCTCCGTTCCAACTTTTCAGTTTCTCACCTGCTCTATTTCCGGTCTCTGAACAGAGAACAATGTCATCTGCATAGTACCCCTTAAAATGTTCCTCCTCTCTCCTTCTCTATTGCTACATTCGTCACAGTGTTAAAAAAAGAAAAAGGAACTTAAAGCCAAATCGTATCTTCACTTCAATGCCAATCTGTTTCTTCAACACAGCTCTTCACTCTAGAGGACATATCATTTTACATTAGTAGAATCAACTTTACATATGTCTCTGGTACACTTTTGTTTATACCATAATGTACTACGGACCCGAGTCTTAACTACTTTCGATAATGCCGAAAATTCCGTATCCAATAGCAACGGACGTTGCATATTCGAACTCACATCACGTGTGAATTCATTGGATGTTAGTCTCTTAGGCGCTTACATGCCATTTGATATTCGAACATGTAACAGTAACCTTCCGTTGGCATTGGATACATTATCGATAGTAGTTGAGGCCCAAAATTACATGTATTTGGACATGTATTCTGGCGCCTCAATCTTCCTGAATCACATATATCTTCTCTATATCTATGAAAGTCAGATATAATTCCAGCCGCGTTTTCGAATTTCTCTGTTGTTTGTCATAGACTAAAATTGTATCAGTAGCTGATTTCCTTGGCATGAAACCAAACAATCCTTCTTCTACAGTTACTTCTTAGCTAAGTCTTTTCTCTAGAAATCTTTCTACCTATCTTCAGTGTGTATGATAAGAGCTTTGTCATATCACACTCATAAGCTGCAGTCCTCCTACTTCTGCACGTGACTATGCTTCTCCAGATGTAATTTTTCCATTAACCGTTCTTTTCCCAAGGCTTTCCATGTTACACTGGGATTCCATTCGGTCCGACTGTCTTTTCATTCTTTTCCATGGTTCACTTCCCGGCGAGAAATATTCCAAGCCAGATATCCCTGTTTGAAGAAATGTTCTTTTCATCTACACTACATTTCTTCTTTTGTTTTTAATATTTCTCTACTCCTCTTTTTTTATTTGCTTCACCTTTGTGATGTCTTTACTAGATGTGATTCGGAACTTCGCCAGGATATATATCTTCTGTCCGTCCTTAATTTCTGTATACATTTCTTCATAAGCTTTAGTTTTTAGTTTGAGCAACTGTTTTCTTTGCTTCTTTTTATTTCTCCATGTATTCCTGAAGGTTAACAACTAACCTTGTTTCTTCTCTTGTTTCTAACTCTTTGCTGATTTATTTGCTTGCAAAGCCTCTTGTACAGTACATCATCGTTCTACCGACAGATTTCCTTATTTTTCCGTAATCTTCCTGATGTTTCTCCTATTTAGTATATATATATTTTAATGCTTCCTTAGTATGTCTACATTCTTAGTCCATTCCTCCTGTGGGTCCACGCACATCGATATGTTCTGTGGTACCACTGTTTGAAGCTGTTGTTCAGGTTTTCACTGTTATCTCTTCTTCCTACATTGTCTGCATGTTTTCAATATTACAATCAAAATTTTCATATCTATGCATATATGCAAATTGATGTAGTACTACTGCATGACTTTGAGCATGACTTTGCAAGTCTTTGCTTCTTTGAAATGCTTCCTCGTATATATGTTATAGTCAATCTATGAGCAGGTCTGACCACATTTGTATGTGAGAAGCTTTATCTTTCTGAATGAAGAATTTCCTATGGCCATGTTCGACGCCACTGAAAAATTTATGATCAGACTTAGGGCGCAGCCAAATCTGGACTATTGCATATTTAAAGAAATACTGCAAATATTTTAAATTTATATTCAGAATAATTATTGTCGTTTAAAATTAATTTAAATAAAAATTATTTTACGTAATATAAAATATTCGTTAAAACTTAAAATGTTCTATTAAATATAGTATTAAAATATAATTGTAAATTTAAAAAATAAACTAAAAAACTGATTTTAACGAAATATAATTTGCTTTTTATAAATTTACTTTTTCACATTTTAATATAAAATTATAAATATACAGTAATCATATTTAATAATTAATTATTAATATGAAATTGAAAAAAAGAAAGAAGAATATTTCGTAAAAATGATAAAATCCTTTTACAAGTACAGTACAAGGCGATTCAAAAGTCACAAAAGTTTTAAAAAATTAATAACTCACAAACTATTTACAGTAAGATGATGCGGTTTTCACGGAAATTCTTAGAAAGAAGCGGGAATTTTTTAGGTGAAATAAAAATTTTAGTATCAAAATAGTTGCATTTCTTTCCATAGATGGCGCTGTAGCATCTGTATATTTGTTCAAATAAGAATTAAAAAATAAAAATGTTCTTAGTGTAAGCTTTAGTAACAACTACACAAATTATTTAAACTTATCAAGCGCCATCTATGGCAAGAAATGTAACTATTTTGGTACTAAAATTTTTATTACACAAAAAAATCCCGCTTCTTTCTAAGAATTTCTGTGAAAACCGCATCATCTTACTGTAAATAGTTTGTGAGTTATTAATTTTTAAAAATTTCTGTGATTTTTAAATCGCCTTGTATTTGATTAATTATTAAATTTATTTAAATGGTATTTAATTTGTGTTATATAATAATGATAATTTTATTATCAAAAAGGATAATACCCTCGTTGCCCTTGGGCAGGGCAATTACAAATATTAAAGTAAACATTACGTTGTATTATACAAACATTAATTTAATTTGCTAATTCCAACATTTTTTTTATTGCTTTAGACTTTAGTGATACGAAGAAATTCTTTGTGTTGGTGTTTCTTAAATCAGGAAATTTTGTGTTACCGTCCGGAAGTATTCAGCAGAGAAATTACAAACTTACTACAACACCTGTACATTTATTGAGAGATTTTTATTAACAAACGTTTTCAGTCTGCTCCCATGGGCCATCCCATAGGTTTTTAAATCCGTTTCAGAAAAAATGTTCCACAAATAAAACATTCCATTTAAATTTTAGCGTTTAAAGTATACTAAATACAAATTTTAACGAATTAAAAATTATGAAAAACATAAGGTTAACAATAAATAAAAATAAACTTAATATATAAGATTAACAAAATACAAATAAAAATGTGATTGAGAAAAATATAAAATATAACAAAAGCCAAATATGATTATAGGGAGACACATAATTCAGATTTTATCTCCTAATTTTTTTTTTTCAATGATGTATTTCCAAGCTGAAGGAAATGCGTTTGCATCCCTCCCGTTTAGGCATTGGTCTTTCATCTTGCTCTTGTATATCTCTATTTTTCCATATTCATAGCGATGGTTGGAGAATGTACCTTTTTAATAATGTTCGCTTCATCCCACTTTATAACAGAACTTTCCATCTGTAACATTGCAGCTAAAATTGTATTACTATGGCCTTTTTCTACAATGTACTTGTGTTCCTCGAATCGCATCACGAGGTTTATTTTTGTGACTTCAACGTAATTTTTTGGACCCCTAACTGTTGATTTTCATAAAGTATTTTTTTATACTTCAGCCTGTTCTTCTTTAGTTTGTCTTTATCATTCTTCAGTAAGTTATAAATATTAAGAGCTTTTTTGTAAACTATCCTCGAGTTTTTGTAAGTTTCCAGCTCATTTATAGTGCCTCCCAACTGTTGAATGTAAATTTATTGATTCTATTGATATTAATACTTAAAATATAAATACGACTTTTAAACAAAGTTAAAAACTTTGTGTCTGTCCTTCCTTTTCGCCGTTTTTCACCATCAGCAATCCTTTAAAAAAGTTCACAAAATTACGGAGACGACCTTTCCTTTGAGGCTACTACCTCCGCAAGAAAATGTAAAAATAGGTAGAGCGTCCTCTGGTGTTTTTGCCACATTCACAATAATACATTTTAAGTAAAAATAAAATTCATGGCCGGCGTTATTTACATTNTATTTATTTTTAAATTATTTTTAAACTCGAAAGTGCCTCGCATGAGAAAATTTACAATTTGAATTTTTTAAAAATTAACAACAACATTTTCAGTTATTGTTAAATGTTAATTAATGAGGTTATTCTTAAAATTTGTATATTATTATTATTATTTCTTTAATAAATATACGATATATTTTATTTTTATTATTTTACATTACAATTTGAAAAATTTTGGTCTACTTTTTATTTTATGAGTAAAAAATTGATCAGTATTAAATAAATTTAATAAAGGTTGGACCAAAAGTCAATTAACCGAAAGTTTTATGCAAATTTGCGTCAAAGTTGTGACATTTGTACTGTATACTGAACACAAGAAGGGTTTCGTTTTGAATAATTTTTATAAGCTCTATAAATATTTAAATAGAATTTACACTTAAAATTGGCGTTAACTGACTTTTCGACCACCCTGTTTATGCGCTTTATGAACAATAAAATGTTTTAAAATTATATACTTTTTTTAAAAGAAATAAAATTTAGCTGAGATTCTTTTACTTTTTTTTTTGATAAAAGAACATTTTCTTTCTTTTTATTTCTTCCAAACATTACATTAAAATTTATAGAAGACAATCAAACGTTATTTTGCAATCGAGCGTGACTTAATTTGATGTGTTGTTTAAGATTATCTTTCCTACTATATTCTTTGCGACAAACTTCACATCGAAACATCTGAGGGTTGGGATCGTGAGATTTCCAATGACGTAGAAGGTTACTTCTATTATGAAAAGTCTTTCCACATAAAGGGCACGCCAGTGGGTCGGGGGCAACCTCGCAACGAAATTGCAAACCTTGTGGTTGCTGTTGTTGAGGTGGTTGAGATGGCTGTTTATCTAACAGATAGCTACTTGGACCAGGCACTCCTGAAGTATCCATGTATGTCATCATAGAATTACAACTATCTTGATGCGATAGACCAGCCATAGGAGATATTGGTGGTTCTTCAAATGACACCAAGGCACCAGGCTTGATATCTTGATTATTATCTCGAGAAACACAACTTGAAGTGGAAGGTTCAGAAGGTATGGAACATGGTCCCAAAGCTTGGCTATCACAGGGGCCTGGGCCTGTGTGTAGCGGTTGGGTATCCGCTAACCCAACTGTTGTTGGAATGGCTAACTGAGTGGATGCTGGAGGTAATGTTGGACCTTGAGAAGGACCATCTGTGAATATTGATACCTTTTCTGTTGTCATGGTTTGTTCCATTAACTTTGTTGGTTCAACATCATAATTCCCTTCATCACCAGAAGGTTCTTCTACACTCATATGATAATCTTGTTGAGATGGAAGGGCTCCGTAAAACTTCAAGGGAGGAACTCCATGATGTACAGAATGAAGGGAGAAAACCTGAGATTGTGGGTGGCCGGATGGTGCAAGTCTTTGACGTACATCATTGGTTGATTTAACTTTGGACGTCACCTCCTCAATGACTTCAGGAGAGTGTGGTTCTTTGATTTTAGATGGCATCTGGTCTTCACTATCACTACGATTTGAACCACTTGAAGATCTCCTTGGCCTACCCCTTTTTCTCCTACTTAATGGGGGTGATTCTGCACTATGTTGTGTTTGTGCTGCAGAAACAGGAAGAGATTGAGGCGTATTTACTAAATGTTGTTGAATAATTTCTTGTTGTACAAGTTCTCCTGGTCCACCATGCCTATTATCACCTGTAACGTCTGCTAGACCTTTGACTTTTAGCGTCTCAGCTGTTTTAAGAAGTGCTGATATCTGATCTTGTGACACATTGACTTCACCACGATACATGAAGTCCACTATGGCTTTTAAGTCTGTATATTTCATGTCTTTCATAATAACAATTGGATGCTTGCAAAGGTTTTCCAAAAATAGACGCTGAAAGAAAGGACTACATGCAGAAAGAACTATTTTGTGAACCTTTAAACTAAGACCTTCACATGCTAAAGTCACATCTACCAGGGCTTCACTTGACAGCAACTGGTCAAAAACAGTCAACATATTTGTTTGGTGATTGTTCCATTTTAAACAAAATTGTTGGGTTCCCATTTACTTTTTGTTCGTTACGCACACAGATGAGTAGAACGCCACTTTGGTGACACAAATTAGTTACCTTATTGTGCAAATATTCGACCCGAATGATCACAGTTGACGGCTGCCATTGAGAGCCCACGTTTTGTGCAGGAAGGAATAAAGAACGCTGAGGCCAGATATACACGTATATTGTCNGACAGGATTAAGGCTTACTGTGAAAAACTTGGCTTCTATTATACTATTTTAGATGCGGGTTTTTGCGCTTTTGATTGCGTTTTAATAGGGTACGTCAAGAGAATGTACACTAAGAAAAAATTTTTCGAAAAATTTTCCCCCACGGGGGAAGTGTTATACATTTATAATAGATACATTTTGAGCCACAACAAGGCGTGGCGGGGTCTGCTAGTAAATAAATAAAGGAGTATTAGTATTAAAATAAAATTGTTAAATTATGAAAAGGAAATGTTAAAATACTACAAAAAATGGAAAGGAATAAAGTCAAACTTTGGTTTAACGCCAGTATTTTTTTTTAAATTCGATTTGAAAAGTTTTGCTTCTGACATTGGTGCTAAATCGAGTGTGGTGCTAAATAGGGGAGCGCTGTATAGAGATTCGACCGAATTTAGAAGCAAAAATAAATATTAAATCATTATCATTATTATTACTATTAAAAGAAATGAATAAAATAATTTTTTTTGTAATATTTTTTGAAATTTTTAATTAATAGGATCAAAAGAATGAAAATGATACGAAATGAGATTTTTATTAGGTATGTTTGAAGGTAGAGTTGATTTGAAATATCCTCGGGTAAGCAAAGAAGATATAAAAGGATTGGAGAAACGAAGATTATTTTCATGGAATGATTAAATTAATTTTGTCATTAAATTTCGAAATTACTCGAAGAATTACCAAAGGCAAATACCTATTCCCACTGGAAAATACACAAAACCTTTATCAATTAAAATTAAGAACATTAACTTATTTTTAAATAGTAATTTATCATATTTGATAATTTCGACTGGTTGGAGATTTCGACCAAAAAAAAAAACCTGCCGAAAATAATCTTCTCTATGTTTTCAATATAATAAAATTGATCTTAGTTAATATATTTACAATATAATATTTTTATGTAAACGTTTACATTGTGCTAGATTATATTAAAAATTAAAAAAATTAATGTCAAGAACATTAACTGGATGGCCATCCTAGCGCTCTGAGGGGTAGGTCAGAGGGGGCCCTATACAATGTATAGGAATATGTCGAGGAAGGGATACAGTAAATTGTTTTCATTTACTTTTAATATAATAATTTAATTTGCTATAAGGCCCCAAAAGTTTGCCCGCTACCCAGTGGACGGCCCTGCTAAGAATAGATTTTTCATAGATGGACGAATATGTCGGGCCTTTTCATTGTGGATCTGTGATGGACATTTAGAAAACGGATATTCGTAATGCCGTAATGTTATAACTTTTCTAAGTTAAAAACCTAATGAAATTAATTATAATCAGCAGAATTAATTAAACACTCACCAGTGTTGAGTAGATAAAGCTACCAAATACAGGCAGCTAGTTTTCGGAATCGCGCCTGATGGTCACGTGAATTTTTCCGGGTTTCTTCACGTGCCTAACATGTAAATAGTGGCCAGTTTCCGTAGAAAAATATGAGATGTATCCCCTTGACAAATTCCGTTAAACCAAATCATAATCAATAAAACTTTTATAAATAATTTTATAATTTTTCTCAAGCTCTTTGATGTAAAAATAAACTTAAGATACTTTATTAATTAAATATTCGCTGCGTATATGTGCTTTTAATGTTTAGTGCAATTACATTAAAAGTGACTTAATGTAGAAATAAAATCCAGCAACAAGTTGCTTAACTTTTCTGGCAATATTTGATGGCGCCATCTGTTATGATGACTTATCTAAACACTTTTTATATTTTCAATTATTATAAAATGGCAAAAGCTTAATTTTGAGGGTAAGGATGGATTTTATAAAAAAATTGTAAATGCTAATAACGATGAAAATTGTCATTAATTTAGATACTACTCGAGATAGAACACACGACCCCACTTTATCTCCCTCATTCCGTTGACCTCTAACTACCAAAATTTAAAAACATCAAACCCCCTAATATAGGCCTAAAATAAAAATATAATATAAAAACCTCCCTGCAAAATTTCAGAAATTTTTCGACAAAAAGCACAGGAGTTATTAAGCTTCAAACAGGGTGGTCTAAATTGTGCTCTCTTACACACATACACATACTCTCTAACATCCATACGTACAGAAAAACCCTTAATCGTTTTTTAATTTCCGAACGTTTCAAGGTCCCCGAGTTCAAAAACGTGAAAAATCTTAGGGGGGGTCATTTTTTTGACTGATCGCCATACTTTCCCCTCTGTTATATATAACAGAGCCGGGAAAGTAAAAATAGTAGTATAAAACATAAGAATTTTCTCATTTGAAATTTTCCATTAAGGTACAATTATTAATTATTATATTATTGGGCTGCAATTTTCAAAAATTGTAAACCTATAGATTTAGAAAGCTTAGGGGCAGGAGGCCCGATTGAGTGATTTCCGGACTAGATCAAAAGTCACGTGAATTCAATTCAAAATTTTCCCTCGAATGGAGTTACATAGATGACCGGCACGACTTCATTGTTATCAGGAAAAGTATGATGTACAGGAGCAAGCCGCAACTAATTTGAGGTGGAGAGCATATATTTTAAATTGAATAAATTAAGAATATGATTAAAAATTGCTGCCTGGCATTGTGAGGATGTCACAATAACTATATTTAATAATATATTATACATAATACATAATAAACATATTATTATACAAATTTTTTAATGTCAGAAACGAGTTGTTGAAGTGTAAGAAATGGAAAAGAAAAATTTTCCAGATGGATCTTTCATTGTTTTAAAATAGGGAAAAACTTTAACAGCATATTGATTGTTGTTAAACAGTTTGTTTTGTTGGCAAAACTTTCATCACTTAACATCTCATTAAGGAAAAATCCAAAAAAATGTCTACATTTTTTGATCTTGTATCACTTCTTGTATCATTTTGTGTAGATTTTATTACTTAATTTTAAAAATTTCTCCTATGAAATATTTATAGTGTGTTCGAAAGGATTTTAGGAGTTCGAAGCAATAAAAACAACAAATGTGGAAGAGGATTTCAACAAATTAAGGCAATGTCAACAATAAATATTATTATTATATCTGTTTGAATAAAATATTAATATAACTTCTCACAGTACCTTTACCTGAAATGGGTACATTACTATTACTAACATTGTTGTAAAGGATTCGGGTTCTCCTGATTTTTTCACAAATATCTCGAAATGTCTTTGTTATGATTGTAAATTGGATAAGATTGGATTGACGAAATAAGGCAACGTAAAACTTGGGCGATCTGCCAAGAGATTGTGCTTTACGGAAGGGTTTTCTATGAGAAACTGTAAGACCCACGAAGAGAACTTTGAAAACTTCACGTGAGGCACAAACCCGCCATCAACTACTAGTGCTATGTAGGGTAATCTCCTCGACTAATGATGGGCATGATGTTACCAATGGTACGGTCTTCTATGTTGAGTAAATTTAAATACTGGCAAACAGAGGTTCAGTTGTGTCTCACGAGAAAAAATTTTCTAATTTCAGGCCCTCAGGACTTTAGCAACATACGTATAATTTAAGGTATCTAAATAAATACAGTATTATATAAATATATATTGATTAAATAGCATTAAGTTATAATGCTAAATAACGTTTGCATTTATAAAGTTATTCATTATGCGTTAAAGATTAATTTCTGGATATATATTTATTTCAAAATATTACTTGATATATTCTGATTGTAAAATTTATAAATCAATAATATTTTGAACGAATCCTATTTGTCTGATTTATAAGTATTTTGTATTGTAAAATAAGCAATAAAAAGATGACATTGAAAATTCTGCAATAATTCATTAAGTATTTTGTGATTTGGTAAATTAATTATATCTTATTATTAATTATAATAGATAAAAATTTTATTTATTATTCATTAGTTTTCAAAACGTATACGGTTAATATCTAAATTAAATATATATTTATGTAAATATAAACTATTTTTATGTGCAACTTTCGAGTGTAAAAAATAAATTGTTGCTTGTGATATTTCATTTCATTCACTAAATGATAAATGATTTGGCGATGGAATTTTGACAGTCGAATAATTTAAAATATAAGGTAGGGGATCCCATTGCGGCCTACCATTTATCCCCTCCCCCAAGAAATGACTAAGCTTTCAACTAGACTCTAGATTCTAGAGTCTAGTTGAAAGCTTAGTTATTTCTTGGGGGGATTAGAGTTAATCAAAACAATTATCCACACTTATTGGGCCATTATGGGCACCTTACTTTATTTTCCAGACATTGAATAAATACTACTAAAAGAATTTTCAAACTAAGACAAAAGAAGACTGAACTCGAAGCAGAATAAATACGGAAAAATGTTAATTTTTTTATCGATAATATAAGTAATTATTTTTTTATTTTCGACTATTGACGATTAAAAATTCGATTTCTATCAAACTTTTTAGTCGAACTCATCAATAAGACTTAGAATATCGATTCAAAAATTAATTACCGGAAGAAAATGCATAAAATAAAATTATTTTTACGGAAACTTTCACGTAAGTAAAAAGTATTTCGAAATTAATTTTCTTTCGACATCATTTTGTGAAATATCGAAAGACATCTTTAAAATCTATCTATCACATGATAATTGAAGCATGTTTGTAAATTACTAAAAACTAAAGAATTTGAGTGTTTCATCGTTTAACTATTTAATTTTTTTATATAATGTGTGAAATAAATTACAGTAGATTAACTACGCCATAGATACTAATCATATTTCGTTTTAAAAATGGATTTTATTAACTCTCTTCGTGTTGTATGACACTTGAAATTATTGCGCTGGTAACGTTGATAAAAGGAGCTGTAAAACATTTCAACAGTTTACAACACAATTAAAGTATTAAAAAAATAATCCTGTATAATTTTTGAAAAATCAGCAGAAGCTTTAATAGTAAATTACTGTACAAAATTTAATTCTTGAAAAATATTATAAACTTTG